TTTTTTTTTTTTTTTTTTGAGACAGGGTCTTGCTATGTAGTTCAGGCTGGCTTTTCACCATGGACCCCAGGCTGGCCTCGAACTTGTGGCGATCCTCCAGCCTCTCAAATGCTGGGATAACAGGCGTGTACCACCATGCCTGGCCTGAACCCAGTGTTTTATAATTGTCTGAATGTGAATTTTCCAAAAAACCCAACTGTCATATTATAGTAGAACAGCTGATACCAAGTTAAGGGAAGGGTGGGTGATAAAAGGTGAAGGGGTGGCTAGGGGAGAAAATCATTATCTAACTTCTTAATGTTATGAACTTTTCCTTAAAGAGCAACATGCAAGCTGGGGATGGTGGTGAACACCTATGATCCCAGCACTCAGGAGGCTCAGAAAGGAGGATCCCTGTGAACTGGAAGCCAGCCTGGGCTACATAGTGAGACTCTGTCTCAAACCAACCAACCAACCAACCAACCAGTCAACTAACCTAAACCAAAAAAAAAGAGCAACTGGCAGAGAGCCATCACGTCTTTCTACTCAGGGTACACACAGAGCAGTAAGTGTCCACCTACAGATTCTGAATGCATGAGCAGACATTTGCCAAACACAGGAAAAGACCTGAGCCTGTAAGGACAGAGCTGTTCTTGTAATTAAAGGGAACAAGACATTCAAATCGTTTTAGAAAATCAGTTGTAAGGGGCTCAATAAACCCATGTTTTCTCCTCTTTAATTTCAATACTATGTCCCTGGCTTGGGACAAAAATAATGTTTCTCCCTTGCATGACATAATAGTAATATAATAACAAAGACAGTGTGAGGTTACTATACAGAGGAAATAAATTCTCCTTGGAATAAGTGATCTGGAAAGTGGGATCTATAACATAGACTCCACTGACCGGAGGGTGGTGCAAATGCAATTATAGAGTGACGGCAGGGAGAGTTATTTGTTTCATGTTTGAAGTGGACTTTCCGCCTGCTCAGGGGCTCCAACTCCTGTTTCCAACGGGCTTCAATCTGAGAGGTGGTCGCTGACTGGCTCACCTGGTTGAACTGTTTAAAAACGATTGCCTTCAGAGAGTCCAGGTGCCGGCTTCTCAGGTCCATCTGCACGATCTGATGGTATTTGCTGGCGATTGTCAGTGCCTTGGACATGAAAATGAGCACAGCTGTTAGGGCTGCTGCTGGTTTGATTCTCATCACGTTTGTCAAAGCAAAATATAGGAGCTGTTTTCAGTGAAGAGTTGTCATTTAAGAGTGAAAAGAAACCCCAAAACATTTAATTTTGTGTTTGTTATTTATTTATTTAAAGTCCTGCTATGTAGTCCTGGCTGGCCTCGAACTTGCAATGATCCTCCTGCCTCAGCCTCCCAAGTGCTGGGATTAGAGTCATATACCACCATGTGTGGCTTCAGAATAAATTAATCTTTTTTTTATTTTTGGTACTGGGGATTGAATTCGGGCTCTTACGCTTGTGTGGCAGGTGGTGGAACCACTGAGTCAAATCCCCCGCCCTAGAAAAAGTAATCTTATGTCCTGCTCCTCAATTTAAAAAGCAACAAAGTGGTCAATGGCAGATTCTCATGAAAGCAGTCATTTTTAGAAAAGTGACCCAGCTTAAGGTAAGGAATTATAATGAATTCATACTTGGGAATGAACAGTGAATACTGTAGAACAGTGGTGGCGAACCTATGGCACTTATGCCACAGCCAGCTCTAAAAGGTTTGCCACCACTGCTCTGGAGTTGCCATTTAAGAATACCAGTCATCTGATACTACAATATACCACCACGCTGAAATGCAAACACGTGTGTGTTAGGCAAACACTGAAGACGAAAGTGTTTGTTAAACGCAATTTATAGAAGCTTCTTGGCTTTGGAGAAACAATCAGAAGACTGAAACAAACTTATTTGAATAAGTTCTTACCTGGAGCCCAGAGGGTAGAAGTAAGTTTGGCTTCAGACATGTGAGAGAAGTGAATGTTATTAGCCTTTGGTTCACTCACCCAGCTGTAAGGGGATGAATGAACCCTGCATCACAGAGGAAGGGACCCCACTTGTAAAGAAGTGTTAGTGAAAATAAAAGTGAGCAGCAGCCCTCTCCATGTGATGAAACGACTAAGGAACTTTAGTGACAGCAACACACCCCAGGGTCCTCCAGCCTGCCTGGTCTGTGACAGTGGACACGGCTCTGGCAGACACAGGTGTGCAAGATGCTGATGCAGCCATGACGGCGAGCTGCGCACCTTCAGGCAGGTAAAGCAGAGCTCCGGAGCAGGGCGAGGCGCCGCTGTCATGGCAGCAGCAGTCACCTGGCCCATTCGGGGTGGCTCCCTGTGAGGAAGGATGCTGGAGCCTGTAACGCTGAGTCAGAACCAGAGAGAGGCAGGTCCTGGACAAAGGCTACATTGTGCTAGAGATGCTAATGCAGGCTTCTTGTGTATAGAACTTGGGGACAGTGGTTACAAATGACAATCAAGGTCATAAGAGGCAGATTATAGTCACAGAAAAGCACCGTATGTAACCATATGAAGACATTCTGTTCAGTGAAAACAAGCAAATCACCAACCATGTATACATACTGTGTATATATGTTTTGAAAAGAAATATCAAACAAATAGGAGCTGAATGAAAAGAGAAAAGGGGTGGGAAGTTTTTACAGACTTTTGCAAGACTTATGTGTTGGCTGCATTTTTTTTTTACATTAAGCATGTACTACTGTAGATGAAAAGACAATTAAGAATAGTGCCAAATTAACACCACTTGTAGATAAGCATGATGTTTTAGGAGAAGAAAAATGGTGTGTGGTATTCTGTACCAAGTGCTTATGCAGCATTTTAACTGTGCAGGCCTAGTGAGGGGAGGAGGACGCCGTGCGTGAGCCGAGCGTGACTTCTTGCCTACCTGACCCAGAAGGGGTTTAGCGCTCTTCAGCCTGGAGGAAGAAGCGAAGGCGAACGGAGTCTGGGAATGATACACTACGTAAGTAGGCTGGTACTGGTTGGGCTTTTTGTGCTGAGTTCCCCAGGCGATTCGAATCCAGACTGCATTCTCCTTGGCGTCCCTGAAGCTCACTGTCACCTAAGAGAAGATTTTGGGGGCCAGGGATTTAGCTCAGTGGTGCCACTGCCTGCCTTGTAAGAGCAAGGACCTGAGTTTGATCCCCAGTACAAAAAAAAAAAAAAAG